ATAAGTAATGGTAACAGGACTGAGTGGAGTCCAATTCGGTCTGTAATCATACGAGTGATTAACAAAATCGGACGACCGCGTAGCGGGAGTCCGATTTGTTTAATCACGAGTATGATTACAGACCGAATTGGACGACACGAAGTTCTGTTACCAATTAATCATAACTTTAACAACATTTGTGATATATTAGGCTCTTTTTAATCAAAACGCAAGAGATGTTTTTGCTAACAGTGAAAAAAAAAGCCATTTAAGCGCTCGCGTGATGGCGCGTACTGTCCAATTACTTTGGCATGAAAAAAAAAATAACAGAAATCGGTTTAATCGTTGCTGCTAACCACCACTCATAAATAGAACAAATGGACTACAAAGTGGTTAATTTACGTGGTCTGGGACCAGTTACGTAGCCAAGAACATCAAACCGAGGCTGGAAAACAGCGAAGATGCGAGCAATATGGCGGGTGTTGAACCAGACGAGAGGAGATCCTACACAGACTTGAGAGAGAAGCTTAACAGTACGCCTCATAGAAAGCAACATTTGGAAAATAGGAAGCGAAGACGCGAACAAATTTCTGGTTCGCATCGTCAGCATTCAACGCACGAGAGACCGTATGATAGGGACGTTGAGTTGCAAAAAGTTCATCAAGGAATTCGTCAGCGAATTTTGTTCGACAAGGAAGAATGCGAAAAAATTGAAGAAAAAATCGATGAAATTGTTGAGCTTGCAGATAGTGGGACCTACAGGAGCCGAACAGTTGATAGGGCTCCTTTGCGAGTCAAGTATTTCTTCGGTGAGGGCTACACATACGGGAAACAGTTAACCGAACGAGGTCCTGGTCAAGAGAGACTTTTTCCGCGAGGAGAAGTGGACGAAATACCCGAGTGGATTTTCGAGTTGGTTATTTCTCGCCTCGAGAAGGCTGGAATTGTGCCTAAAGGTTTTGTAAACAGTGCTGTAATAAACGATTATCAGCCTGGGGGTTGTATAGTTTCGCACATCGATCCTCCGCATATCTTTGATCGACCTATTGTGTCTTGCTCGTTTTTTAGCGAGTCTTCCTTGAGTTTTGGCTGCAAATTCTCGTTTAAACCCATCCGTACCTCAACGCCAGTTTTAACCCTTCCTCTTCCCCGCGGCTGTGTTACTACTTTAAGGTGAGTTACGGCTTATTTGCATCAATATTTTTACAAGCGTTTGTATCTATCTTATATTCCATGCAGTTAGTTTGAGTAACATTAGTTTGCAACGTTTATTCAGCTTAAGCTTAACTTTTACTTGTTCTTCAGGCGAATCCATTCGAATGAGATTCAGATTCTATTGAGATAAATAAGTAAACCAATTTGAAGTCGTCAGGTCGCCAGCCTTGAATTTACATGTAGCTCGTGAAAATTATTCAGTATTTTTTTTTAATATTTTGGTATTTCGGTGGAGAAGCCAGCATTGGTGTTAAATATCAATTAAAGTGGATGATTTAGTTTGATGTCAGAACATAAGCACAAGAGTAAAATTTTTCATATTCTTTGTTGGAAATAGCATAATAAAACGGGAAGAAGTAGCCCTAAGAAAAAGGATGAGGGAGGCAACAGGCCACCCTTTAAGCGACAGTTCTGGAGAAGAGAAATTCTCCTACAGCTGTAGTTCTGTGTTTTTGGAGGATGATCTTTCCAGGACAGTTTCTGGACCTGCATCATGGTGTGTCTGTATCCTTGTGTATAAGTACAGGGATGTAACTAAGAGCCTGCTAGAAAAGATCTTTGTTCTGGCTCAAATTGCTCTGTAACACAAGGCAATGAGAGGATTGTTTATGTGCAGTTGAGAAAAAAAGTGACGTGTGTAATAAAAAAGCCGGCTTAGCTTTTTTGTAGCTACATCCCTGCATGTACATGTAGGTGGGGGGCGGAAAAGCCCGCGTAAATACTGAGCGAGTGCCCCCTGGGCATCCCATAATACTCCTTAAATCTAATAAATTCTATATGGCTGCAATATTGGTAAAAAGGTCTATTTATAGAGCACATTTTGATCACACGCATTTGTACCTTCTGTCACCAACTTGTTATCTGATCATGTACGTTTTGACCTTTTATTAAGCGAAACTTACACAAAAAGCACCGGCATTGGAGCAAGAGCGTTTTGACCTTCAATCAGAAGCCTGAAACTCCCTTCACTCCGTAACCTTTGGTTATTGCAAGTAGTATTAATATTTTGAAATGGTAGCTGGGAATTAGCTGCTCCTAAGATTCTAAGAATGGGATGAAAGGAGAACAGCATCTTTTGCCCAGTTTTGACACTCAATTTCCTTTATTTTCGAGCCCCAATTATTCATTAAAATGAAACAAAGGAAACAAAGAAAATTGATAATCAAACTAAGGTTAAAATCATTTTAACCTGAATTTCATTTTGACCAACAACACATACTATTCACATTAGAGAAACAGTGCAACTAGAAAAGTTACAAGAAGGGGAATTGTTTAACTTTCCCTCTATGTTATGGTGATCTGGCCTAAAGTTTGCAGATAATGCATGTCATCACTGCTAAAACCTGTCCACTACATGTAGGTGTATTAATAATTAATAAGATGAATTATTCATATGCTTTCCTTATGCTTGTATGTAGTGGTTATGCTGCTGATGATATTACTCACTGTATAAGACCTCAAGATGTGAAGAAAAGAAGAGCTGTTATTATTGTGAGAAGGTAAGTCTGTAAGCTAACTACAGGTACTGTAAAGTTCTGGGTCGTTACTCTTGGATTTAGCACCCTTCAGCTATCGCTACTTTTGGAGGCTCGCTACTTTCAGGGGTCATTACTTTTGGATGACAAAAACGTGTACTCCACATGGGCACTCAAAAAAATGCAAAAAATGTGAAAGGAATACTTTTTGAAAAAAGGTAATGTACATCCTGTACCTCGAATCAGTGTGACATTGTTCAGGATTTCTATCATATCCAATATATTTTGCAAAAAGGGAAGTTAGTTTTGAGGTCTCAACATTCGGTGGGATTGCTACTTTTGGGATTTGCTAACACCTGTGACATTTTATCACTACTTTCAGAGGTTCGCTACTTTCGAGGGGTCGTTACTTTCGCAACTTTATGGTATGGAAACTAAAAAGCTAGACTAAAGCAGTGTTGATCTAATTTAGGATGTTGCACAAATAGACCATTTCTAAGTTGCAAAAACTCTCACCTTAAAACTATGCTGGGTGCGAAACCTTTCTTGTGAAATGAGTTTTATTAGCGTGAGAAAGAAAAATTATTTTCATATCAATGGCTTTGCACTTAGCCTCGCTTTGAAACAGAGGCTTGGGGCAACTCAAAAAATGGTCTATCACTCAGGGTTCTTACACTTGTAAAACATTTTCTGGTAAAATTTCTTTGCCCCCAGAGTGCTGCCGGATGCACCAAGGCTCGAACCAATCATTAGTGAAAATGGTGGCCAGGAAAAGGAGGATAGCAGTGAGAGAGAGAGTGAAGATCCTGATGAGGAAGAACCATCCCCTGCCAAGAAGAAACGGGTCGTGTTAAAAAGAAGTACTAGACAGCCCAATCATGAAGTGAAAGAGCAACCAGTTCTACTCAAATAGTGACATTTTCATGGTTTTCTTGAAGATTGGTTGTTGCTTTGACATGAAACCTCTAAATGTCTAGGAAATGATGATCAGCTCTTGGTAAAATCCAGGCATAATTATGATCAGAAGTCACAGAGTATAGGTCCCTACTCTTGTATTGTGTAACACACTTTTGAACAAGCTTACATGTACATGACACATTGTTTCACTCAGATGTAACAAATTTGATTACTGTTGTTGTTATTGATACTTATGAACTCTGCTAACCTGAATTCTCACTGGAATCTTTGACACGAAATCTTAAAAATGACAACTGATGTTGAATAATATTAAAGAGAAATTTCCTGTTTAAAATGTTGAGCCATTGAAGGGTGACGGGCTTTTTAAATATCCCCCTTCATTTTGCTTTAGGTTTGCAAACTTACTGCCTAATTTTTTTATTTACATGTACTGTGGCTTCTAAGTTTTGCATGATTCTGATGGTGCCTTCATAGGCAGTCCTAGCCTGTTCCAGGCTTTAAGATTTTAGGGAAAGCGAATCAAGAAAAGTTGCGCAAAAGCTGCAGTGGGGCTGGGGAAAGACAGAGTAGTAGAGCCTTTAAGTGTTGTTTTTAATACCTCATTCTGGTAATACCAGATTGATCAAATGATTGTGACAGTTTACTTCAACACTTACATTGTACGTCAATCATTATTGGTGTTGCACACAGAGTTGAGCATGTAAAACCTTTCTACACTCATTCAGGAAGTGGGCAGATTGAGGTATTTAAAACGATATTCACAGGCTCCTCCTTCTCTTTGCTACTTCACACTACACGCTCGCCTTTTTCACTGGTCTGCACTGACTGAGAGCCTGGCACAGGTTAAGGCAGTCCTCTCAAATTGGTGAACTGAAATAAATTGATGGCACATTGTTATAATTCCACACACAAACAAGTTCAAGTCAGCTTTATTTCAAGTGGTAGCAGTTTAAGGAAATTCAGCTCAGCAATTCGAAATGATTTTCCATTGATTCACCTCCAGAGAGAGATGGATTATAGTATTTTTGTTTGAGATTCCTGTGAAATTGGAGTTAGCAGATGTTTTGCATTGCTTTTTGATGTTCTCAGTTCATATACATTCAGGGAAAAGTGTTCAGATCTTACCGGGCCATTGTATATAATAATAAGCTGAGATATAATGGATTCTCATGCTTACATGATATAATAATTAAATTCCTTTGGTGGAATTATAGTAATTAAAAATTCCTTTGGTGGCCTGTAAATACTATGCTTACAATAATTTATGCTCGCACTAATTTCTCGATTACCGGTATATCCCTTTTGAGGCTGTTGCTGATAATAATTGATGATGAATCCAAGGTTTTCTTTAAAGTTCTCTATTACAAGTGTGAACAGAGGATACTTTAGATTCTTTGAAACGCTTGGAAATGTGAATGTAAGTTGTTTATAAAGGGAAAAAAACATGACAAACATGTTACTGTTTGGCCTAGTTTAGAAAGTTGTTGTTAGCTTCAAGTTAGCTTATTTTGAAAGAGGATTACTTCATTTATTTTACTCTGTAAATACACTCTACATAGAAAGTGATCTATAAATCAAATATGACCTAATTACAGTGTCGTTTAAAGAAATTTGTTGAGAATTTTTTTTATCGAGAATGCTTAATGAATCCAAGCCTGGAATACTGCTGTGTGAAGAACTGGGATGTTTGATCACAGCTCAAAGCCCAAAGCCACTACAATTTATCTGCATGAAATGTTGTGTTTAGTATTGCATTAGAGTTTTGTACATACGATCAATTAAAATTAATTGAGATGCTGTTTATCTGAAGTAAACTGGAGTTTTGTTACTGTTGAAAACTTCTTATTGTTTCATATTTGGAACTACACTCAACTCTCTTCAAGAAAGACACCTTTGGGACAGGCACTGAATGACTGTCCATCTCAGAGAGATGTCCATCTTATAGAGAGTCAAATATAGGGAGTAAAGAAAGGCAGGCACCAACTCTCTGTGTCCATTTTACAGAGGCGTCTGTCTTATAGAGTCTCAAATAAAGGGAGTAAAGATAGGCAGGGACCAACTCTAGGTGTCCTTTTTACAGAGGTGTCCGTCTAATAGAGAGTCAAATATAGGGAGTAAAGAATGGCGGAGACCAAGTCTATGTGTCCATTTTACAGGTGTCCATCTCATAGAGAGTCAAATAAAGGGAGTAAAGAATAGCAAGGACCAACTCCACGTGTCCATTTTACAGAGGTGTCTGTCGTAAAGAGAGTCAAATAAAGGGAGTAAAGAAAGGCATAGACCAACTCTATGTGTCCATTTTACAGAGGTGTCCGTCTTGTAGAGAGTCAAATAAAGGGACTAAAGAAAGGCAAAGACCAACTCTAGGTGTCCATTTTACAGAGATGTCCTTCTTATGGAGAATCAAATAAAGGGAGTAAAGAACAGCAGGGACCAACTCTATGTGTCCATTTTACAGAGGTGTCCATCTTATAGAGAGTCAAATACAGGGAGTAAAGAATGGCAGGGACCAACTAAATGTGTCCATTTTACAGCCGGGTCTCCGTCTTATAGAGAGTCAAATAAAGGGAGTAAAGAATGGCAGGGACCAACTCTATGTGTACATTTTACAGCCGGGTCTCCGTCTTATAGAGAGTCAAATAAAGGGAGTAACGAAAGGCAGGGACTAAGTCTAGGTGTCCTTTTTACAGAGGTATCTGTCTTATAGAGAGTCAAATATAGGTAGTATAGAAAGGCAGGGACCAACTCAGTCTTGACAAAGTTCGAACTCCAGATTTCTGATTTCTGACCGTTCAGACTCTATGCTGCATGGTTAAACTTCGGACTTTCCAATTTCCACTTCCCACTTCGGACCTCTGACTTCTGATTCGACTTCCGATTTCCAACTTCCGACTTCCGACTTCCGACTTCCAACTTATAACTTCCGACTTCCGACTTGACCGCCTCCGTCAGGCTCGATTGCCGCTCAATCCGCCACGCGGGTATTAATGCTCAAGGTCAAAGCTCAGTAGAAAGAACGGCTGCTGCGGCTGTACCGTTCTCGCCACAAAAGGGAACATTTTTAAAAAGTTGCTCTTGTAAAAGCAACTAAACACAAAGCCAATCCGGCAACTGATAAGGTTCGCTTGAAGAACCGAAACCATGATTTGCCTGATCACAAAGTGGCAATAACAAAACAGCCCAAACATTGTTAAGCTTATTCAAAAAACTATCACCAAAGAAGGAAATACGCGCTCCAGTCAAAAGACTAACATTTTCTTAAAAAAAAAAAAACAGTAAGCTGGAATCTACTGAGTCACAATGCAATTCTCCATGGTTGATGCAGCTTCATTTCAAGCTGCACTTCATTCTTATGACTTTGGATCTGTAAATCACTATCCGTGATAATTTAACATCCTGCAAAGAAAACTAACGCGGGGCCCAGCTTGCCCAGGTACGTACAACATTGGAGATGGCAGATTACGAACTGAAGAAAATCACTTAGTTATTCAGATCCAGAAGGCACTTTAGAGAAAATTGGGGTCCTTACTCAGCCGTAATGAAACACTTTACGCTTTAAAAGATGAGAGGTCAGAGAACAGGGGCACCCAACGAGAATATAGTCCAAAACCACTTAAACATAGCATTGTTGAACGTATTCTAGTATTTAAACGGTAGATATAGGCATATTTTTATCCCCTAAAAATTTTTCATGATCTGTTCGGATTTCCTAGCTGAAAGTCTATAGTGATCCGAAAATTATAGGGATCAAAACTTACCTTTTCGAAAATTTCAGCCAAAAAAAAGGCTTCCGAAAATTCTAGGTGACCTTTTTGGGGTAAAACTCCGTTGAAAATGGGCAATTATACCATTCTTTATATGTTCGAAAATCCTAGGAGAGGCAGGCAAGCAAGAAATTTTACAACAAATGTTCCGAAAATTCTAGGTCTCAAATCGTCTTCGGAACAGATATTTTCCGAAAATTGACGTTTGGTGCCCCTGAAAGAAATGATGTTGCATCAGAAGGTAAATACTTTAAAATGTATCCAACTTTTCAGGAAAATAATACTGAAGCCCTTGTAATTTCGAAAAGACTCAAGTCCCCCTAGAATGACCAAACAGAGACCAATTCTATAGCGCCGCTTAAATGATGCATGTTATCTCTAGAGATCTAAAAGTACTCTGGAAAGCCTAAAAAGTGTTTTCAATTTAGTTAGGAGGGAATTGTCGTTGGGTGCCCCACCTCTAAATCATAAACATTACAACGTTCACCAGGAGCCGATTAGTAATCGGCTCCTGCGGTCACACAATTTGTGCCGGCGCCCTGTGACCTACTGGAAGGTCATGTTTCGTGAGGATCGGCTCTAATTCTGAGATCAGGTACCCTTCCTCCTTTGTTCTTTGAAAGGTGGGGACAAAAAAGGACCTTTCTTTTTCCCCCTTCGTCGTTCGCCTACTTTTTCTCTCCCTGAACGCCTGATCGCAGGTTAGGAGAAGGCGACGAATTTTACCAAGGTTTTAGCGCGAATTTAGAATTATATCTTTAAAGTCCGAAAAACCAGTCGGCAAAACCTACAGTCCTTAAAATGATAATTTTTGCCTTTTAATAACGTTACGTTCTCCTTTTGATATCTAATATACTTCGAATGCGTTCGGAGACGTGGCAGAGATTACATTTTCGTGGGAAAAAGTGCCCTAAAATGTGTCTAAAAGTAAATCGGTCCGTAAAAACATCGTAACATAGGCCCAGCATGGGAGTTGCATCACTCCTAGTTATGGGCTCCTGATTTTACTCGATCTTTCTAAACTCGGACTGTCCAGCTCTAGCGTGTTTTCCCTCCTTTGAAAAGACTGAACGAGTTGGAATTATAGAGAAAAAGTTTTAAAGCACGAAACTACTGTTTTTCCGGTCGCCGTTGTGAGATGCTTAGGTCCCTAATTCAGGGGCACCCGCCGGCGACTGTTTTCTGTAAAATATCTGTTCGGAGAAGCAAATATTGTCTAAAATTTTCTATT